TCAAAAGCCTATTAAGTGCTCAAGCCTCATCAGGACCTCTACTTTCCTCCTAATGATGCCTTATTCTTCTGCCCATGGCAGCCTGTATTAGTTCAGGGTCCTCCAGAGAAACAAAACCAATAGGAGGTGTGTCTAGAGAGAGAGTGCGACTTATTTTAAGGAATTAACTCACACAGTTGTGGAGGCTGGAAAGTCCAAAATCACCAGCATAGGCTGGGAGGCTGGAGACCCAGGAAAGAATCACAGTTCAAGTCTGAAGGCAGGCTGCTAACCGAATTCCCTCTTCTTCCAGGGATGGCAGGCTGCCTTTTCTCTTGAGTCCTTCAACTGATTGGATGAGGCCCACCCACATTATGGAGGTCCTCATAATCTATTTCACTCAAAGCCTCCTGATTGAAATGTTATCTCCTCTAAAACATACCTTCACAGAAACATCTAGAATAATGTGAACTAACATTTGGCCATATGTCTAGGTATCACAGCCTAACCAAGCTGACACATGAAATTAACCATCACATGGCCATGCTGCTTGAGAGAGTTGCCTACACTAATTGCCTCCACCTCTCCCCTCTCATTAGCAGCAAAGACCACTTCTCTGCTCTATCCAGAAAGAAACTCCATCCCAGTCAACAGGACCTCTGGTCCTATGCCATGTTCTAGAATGCTCAGAGCCTCTGCTACCCAAGAGCTGCAGAGCAGGAATCTGAGAAGTGCTAGCCAAAACTTTCAAGCAGCCAGAAAGCCTGAGACCTAAAGAGAACATGAAGAACTTATACAGGGACACCAGAGATGGCACCTGGTGGCAGCAGCTTCTTCTCCTGCTTATCCTGGTCCAGGGCCTATGGCTTGGGAATATGTGGGAAGCAGTGGGTAAGAGCCTGAACCAGGCAGAGGACACTCGCAAGTCATCAATGGTCCTATTGATGAATCCGATGGACACTTCTTCATCTTTATCTTATTTGATCTATCAGGGATCTCTGACAATTCTTGAGGCTCTTGGCTCTATGACAGTGCCGCCTCCTGTAGAGCTTTTTGCTTTACTACTTTTTTGATCCCTCCTTGGTTTCCTATAGGTTTTTTCTTTAACATCTGCCCTTCAAAAAGTGGTATTCCCAAAGGGTTTAATCCTCAATGCTCTTCTCTCTCTTTATATGAGTTATTTCTACCTTCAGGGAAGGGGCATCACGACCTTTTCCAAATCTGGTGAAAGTAATGGACCCTCTCCCGAGCTGGCTGCAAACACCCAGTGCCTTGCATATAATTTCAGGGGTTCACAGATGCTGCGATGCTTATCACTGCTCTCCCACAACCTTCTTGACCTGGCAAAGCCCTACTCACCCCGGAGATCCAGATCAGACCTCATGCCACTCCCTGTGGGACCCTCTTTGACCCACTCTCTCCCCAAAGGAGGGTAAAAGACACTCCTCTACACTGGGCTCTATCTCAGCACCAGCCCACTGGGTTTAACAGCCACTTCCCTGCCTGCCTGCCTGCAAGTCTGTGAAATGAGCTTCCTGAGGTCAGAGAACATTTCATGTTCTTCTTTGTATATTCCACTCCATAGCAAAGTACCTAGCTCATAAAAGGCACTCAGCAGACATTTGATTACAAATAATTATGTGAATTGAATCTATTTTCAAAGCAACCGTGTGAAATGCATATCAAAATTCTTACTTTGCAGCTATAGAAATCAAGCCTCAACGTGAATTATCCTTAGACCCAAAGTCAGGAAGGGGCAGAGCTGAGCTGGAAATCCTGGTCTGCTGGCCTTCATAGCTCATTCTCATCTCACCACGCCAGGCTGCTTTGAACCCATGTGGTCCACTAACAGCATGTCCCCTGCTCTTCCTGGCTCCCTCCACTGGAGTCAGGGTTGCTACTACTGAGATTGACAAAAGAGAACTAGCCCAGAAAACACCAGATCTGGCCACAGCAAAGACTGGGTGCTTCCTCATCTTACACCCCCATCACCATTATCACCATTTGGGCCTTAGGTGGGATCCTCATGGATTTAAGTATTGGGCAAAGAGAACATCCCTTATGGTTCCTCATCTTCCCACAAATTAAAACCCAGAACAAAGCGAGAGGCCTGGCAAAAGCATCAGA